CACGGCGTCGACGTACCGGACTTGAAGGACAAGATCACATGGGAGGAACTGACACGGCTGTGGAAGAAGCGGTTCATCGTCGACGACGCGCCGACACTCGCCATCAACCGTCTGTTCACCATGTCAGAGGGCAACACTGCAACACGGGACTGGCTCACGGAGTGGCAGAAGATTGCGGCTGTGCCCAATCTGGACTTGCCATTCATACATCTCAGACGTGAGTTCTACAACAGATCCTGCGCTGCATTGAGCCAGGCTCTTGGTGATCGCGAGCAGTATTCCACTTTCGCCGAGATTATCGACAAGGCGAGAGAGATCATCAAGACCAACAGGTCAGCTGCACACGAGAAATCAACATGGCAGCCGACATATGTGGAGAAGGTACGAACTGGTCCGCGACAGCAGCACTTCGCTGCAGTCCAGTCGGACAGTGGAGATAACCCAGCAGCCACTCCAGCATCAAGTGATGGAGATCAGGTGGCTGCTGTCCAGCCGCGAAGCAAAGACAAGTCCCGCAACAATGGGAAGGCGAAATCCGCATCGCAGGCCGGAAATGGACAGCCAATACAAGTTCCATGGGTCAAGTTCGGCTTGACCGAGGCGGAATACAAGGTCCGCGGCCGCTACGGCAGCTGCTATTGGTGCAACAGCACCAAGCACAAGACCTCCCTGTGCCARGATCAGGGCAAGGAGGATGTGCGACCCCGCCTCAGCTCGGGAAACTGAGCTCCGCGGAAGGTGAGGCGACTCCACCTTATACTCCCTCAGATTCGGCCGCCTGCCTAGCGGCCTCCTGCACATCTGGGGAGAACGCGAATGTCGCAAGTTCTCGTTACACTTACGAGGACTATGCTGTCCACTTGGTTCCACCACTGGACCAATCGCTCCACGTGCAACAATCCATCGCATGCACGGTTTCATCACCATCGGCAACCAATTCGGCAACTTCGCTGCAATCTATCGCCGGGGATTCGACGTCATGGTCAAGACTTGAAGAGCTCCACCCATTGACGTTCACAGACTTCCAGTGGATGCCCGTTCCCTCGACCGGACGATTGCCGAAACCGCATTGCAACGTGCTCATGGCACAATTGCAGGATTACTTGCACACTGCAGGACCAGCTCCGTTGATGGACGCCGGAGCAGAGGTTGTCGACCTTCACGCCTACATCGCAAAGATCAACCGCGAGTTCAAGACGCAACGGTACGACGACATCGACGCACCATTGCTATATGTACGCATTCAGATCGGAGAGGCGACCTACAACGCCTTAATTGATTGCGGAGCATCTCACAACTACAACAGCCAGGACTTCATGGTGAGCGCCGGCCTTGGCCCACGCGTCCGGAGGAAGTCCCAGCCTACGCAAGTCACGTTGGCAGACGGTCACACGCACAAGTCAATCGACCGGTGCATTGACAACGTCCCAGTGTACTTTGCCCCTCACTCAAGTGAGGCGGTGTCCTTTGACATTCTGGACACCAAATTTGACATGATCTTGGGCATGTCATGGCTGCGAAGCGAGGATCACCCAGTGAACTTCTTCCACCGCACCGTTCACATTCGTGATCAGAACGGAGTACTAGTTCCATGCACGGTGTCTCTTCCTCATCCTTCGATCAGCTGCCACGTGGTATCCGCCGCAAGCATGCGAGCTTCCCTCATCAGAGACGACATCGAGGAGATGGGGGTGTGTTTTCTCCACGCCCTCCCGCCCCATGACGCTTCATCGACGGACTCACCTTCGGATCCACGCATCACCGAGCTTCTCGACGCCTACAGCGACGTGTTCGAAGGCCTGCACGGAGTAGTACCGGATCGACCCATCCGCCACGAGATCATCCTCGAGGACGGGACCGTACCTCCGCGCGGTTGCATCTACCGAATGAGCGAGGAAGAGTTAAGTGTGCTTCGCGCACAACTCGACGACCTTCTAGAAAAATGCTGGATTCGGCCTAGCTCATCGCCATACGGTGCTCCTGTTCTCTTCGTCCGGAAGAAGAACAAGGACCTGCGGTTGTGCATCGATTATCGCAAGCTCGACGCGTAGACAATCAGGAACGCCGGCCCTCTCCCACGCATCGACGACCTTCTCGAGCGAATGGGCGGCGCCAAGTTTTTCTCCAAGCTGGACCTCAAGTCGGGATATCACCAACTCGAGATTCGCAAGGAGGACCGTTACAAGACCGCACTTAAGACGCGATATGGGCATTTCGAATGGTTGGTTATGCCATTTGGCCTTACGAATGCCCCAACCACTTTCCAAGCGGCTATGACAACGGAGTTCTGACACATGCTGGATCGTTTTGTACTTATCTACCTCGACGACATTCTGGTCTACAGCCGGAGTTTGGAGGAGCATGTGGAACACTTGCGCACCGTTTTGGAGCGGCTACGACAAGCCAAGTACAAAGCCAATCGCGACAAGTGCGAATTCGCGCGGCAGGAGTTGGAGTACTTGGGACACTATGTGACGCCGCAAGGCATCTGTCCGCTTGCGGACAAGATCGAGGCCCTACGAGTATGGCCCGAGCCCACCAACACCACGGACGTTCGTTCATTCATGGGGTTGGCGGGCTACTATCAGCGATTCATCACCGGATACTCCAGGATTGTCGCACCTATGACGAGGTTACAGTCGCCAAAGGTGCCATTCGTATTTGATGACGACGCACGCCGGTCATTCCAAGCACTTAAGACGGCTATGCTCATGGCACCCGTCCTTAGCATCTATGACCCCACCCTGCCGACGAGAGTGACTACGGACGCTTCTGGCTATGGCATTAGGGCAGTCTTGGAACAACACGACGGCGACGACTGGCACCCTGTGGAGTATTTCAGCCACAAAGCGCCTCCCATCAACTCGTTTGATGATGCAAGGAAGAAGGAGCTGCTCGCATTCGTCATGACTCTTAAGCGATGGCGGCACTTCCTCCTTGGGTGTCGTAGGTTCACATGGGTTACGGACAACAATCCATTGACCTACTACAAGACGCAGGATACGGTGAGCAGCACGATCGGACGATGGATGTACTTCATCAACCAGTTTGACTTCACACCGAAACATATACCCGGCCTCTCAAATCGCGCAGCAGATGCACTCTCGCGAAGACCAGATCTTTGCGCTATGACACATCATGCCTTCGCATTCGACGAGGAGCTTCAGCGACACTTCATCCGGGCATACAAGTCTGATCCGGACTTCGCCACGCTGTACGCACAGCTATCTTCGGATCACCCGCCGGCCAGCCACTATCGCATTGCCGACGGATACATGCTCCTCCACTCGAGAGGCAAGGACTTATTGTGTGTCCCACGCGACCGTCGTCTTCGGACTCGCCTCCTCGACGAGTATCATGATTCACGACTCGCCGGCCATTTCGGAGTCAACCGCACTACTGCACGGCTTCGACAGTGATTCTGATGGCCCGACCTCATTACCGATGACACTCGGTATTGCGACTCGTGCGAAGTTTGCCGACGCAACAAACCCCGCAACCGCAATCCCTATGGCGAGTTACACCCGATGCCTATGCCATGGGAACCCGGTCTCTCCATTGCCATGGACGTCACTGATCCGTTTCCTCGCGACTGGCTCGGGCACGACGGCATCCTCACGGTTGTGGACCGATTACGCACGTTTTCTCCCTTGCAAGTACTACTCCACGACTCCCGAGCTGGCACGCCTCCTGCACACTAGTTGGATTTGTGGCCATGGTGTACCATAAAACATTATCAGCGACCGCGACACTCGTTTCATGTCGGCGTTTTGGACTGCTCTCATGCAGGAGTCCGGCACAACAATGAAACCAAGTTCGGCTCGGCATCCTCAGACAGACGGGCAGACGGAGCGGGCACATCAAACCGTTCAAATGATGCTTCGTACGCTCATCCGTCCGGACCAGAAAGATTGGGTTGACCATCTCCCCGACATCGAGTTCGCCTACAACACTTCAGTGCACCCGGCGATCGGCGTGACTCCATTCGAGTTGCACCACGGTGGACGAAAAGTCCGTATCTTCGCCAACCTTCTCCTCCTTTGACCAGCCGACATTGACGCTGCCTGCTCTCCCGCTTCCGTCCGGAAGTACAGGGAATTGATGACTCAAGCCCGAGCAAATATGCAAAAGGCTCAAGTCTGCATGCAGCAGCAAGCCATCAGGCGTCGCGTACCATGTCCCATCCGCGCCGATGATCTGGTTTGGGTCTCCGCGGAAGAGTTTGCACTGAAACAAGATGTTTCACGCAAATTGCTGCCCAAGTGGTTTGGACCGTGGTCTGTGACAGCAGCCGCGGGCGATGAGCCCGATGGCCCTTCATTTGTGATCAACATTCCAGCGCATCTGACGGTCCATCCAGTCTTCCACGCCTCGAAGCTGGCAACATACACGCCAGCCAAGAGCGACGACTTTCCGGGCCAACGATCGCAGGACCCTCCCTCTATGGATGGTCATCAGGAAGTTGACCGCGTCATCTCCGATCGCAAGTACGGCAGCAAGGCACGGCAATACAAAGTCACATTCAAAGCATGCGATCGAGACGACACTCGGTGGATTTCAGGCGCAGATTTGAAAGCATCCGCACCGCTGATCTACGCGCATTATAAAAGCGGAGGTTAGCTTAGGAAGCTTCACGACCAGCCCCTCCCACCCGGACTGTGGTCCCTCCCTCAGACAGACAGCTTCGCCCTCGCAGGTAAGCTCGGTTCTTCAAGGAGGGGGGGGTGTGGCATACTGCRTAGCCACACGGGCCCTGCAGGGCCCGTYCCGGACATTCAGCCTAAAAGCCTAAAACTTAGGGCTTACAGGCCCCKGTCGTTTCAGCCTGAAAGCTGAAAAACGAGGGCCTGCAGGCCCTACTCCGTTTCAGCCTACCCAGAGTTTTTCCAGCCTGAAACGGAGGGCCATTTTCAGGCCCTCATTGTTTCGACCTGCCCCTAAGACTCAGGCACGTAAACAGGGATGCGGAACAGGCCAGAAATAGCCTGTTCCTCACGAGCTCGAGCAGGAGCTGCAGCGGCAGCCCCTGACTCCGATAGGCATTGGCAAGAGCAGCCTCCTAGACTGCTCGCCTGCAGTCAGGAGGCACCCGTGGTAGTACATAGGGACTTCCCAGGCACTTCACGGGTAGGTAGTTTTCAGTAGGCACGAGTAGTCTTCAGGATTCGGCCACAGCACTCAGGAGGAGCGCTGCAGTAGTCTTCAGCGCTAGGTAGTAGTTAGCGCTAGCTGTAGTCTTCGGCGCTGGGCGCCCATAGCCATAGTGGTAGTCTTCAGCGCTGGGCGCTATGGTAGGTGGTAGATAGTAGAGTTGGGAGAGACACTGGCGGAGGCAAGTGGTACTTACCTGTGGCGCCATCGCTCCAGCTCCATCTGCGAGGTACCTGCATCAAGGCACCAACTTCACAGGTTAGTACTGGATACACAGAGAGAGAGAGAGTTCTTCTTCTTCCTCCTCTAAGTCCACCATCTCTTCTCACCCTCTCACCACCTGACTTCTCAGACTACGACAGAGAGAGACAGAGCTGTGACTTGAGACTTGACGACATTGGATCCAGACTTGACATTTGGGATTCAGACATTTYGACRAGGGACTATTTGGGCTTGTGTCGAAGACTTGGTGTTGACGACATTCCCATCTTCCCCCTCCTCTTCGTCTATCCCCTTCCTCTTCGTCTGTGTATGGTATGGGCTGGCGCAGTCTTCCTGTGTGAAGAGCCAGACCCCATTCACACCATCTAACGATGATGATGATGTATGTTCAGGGCTGCATTGCAACATTGATTGTTCGGATCACTGGTATCTAAGTCTTCCGTTGTGCTATCTTATACTTTGTATTGAAAGGTCGGTTCTTGTTCTGGTCTGCACGTTACAGTATGCAACATATGCCACCGCTGTGTGAGTACGCCCTAAGCAATTCAGAATGGGATCAGTCTTCCCCCCCCCCCCCCTTTTTTTTCCTTTCCTTTCTTCCTTTCTTTTTTCTCTTTTTTTTTCCCCCCTTTTCTTTTCGGGGGAGGGGGATGGGATGTTCATGCTCAGTCCACAAGCAAGCAACAAAGAACGTGACTCTGGACTCTGGCAGCTTCTTTTTGTATCTGCAGATGACAGCGTACGACAGCATGGGACTCGCTCCACGACTCTCCACAGAGACAAACGACAATAAATATGGGGATGTATCTTTTGCAATGAACCAAGTCACTGACAGGTGGAAAGCTTAACAATGGCGAAGTACAGAATGTCTCAGTGCAGTTTCAATGCCTCCAAAATCATACATGTAATCAAGAGTCCAATGTCACGTAACACAGAGAAGAGTGTCATGAAAGGGAGATTAGACTGAGAGGATGGAAGAGAGAGTACCCATCATCTTAGCAGATAGATCTCCCTCACAGACCCACTCCTCCTTCGGGCATCTCCTACTCGCCACGTCAGAAGACAGTTTCCGCTGACATGCTCTGACATCGAATGGATCTCAACATGGCGCACACGGCGCAGACTCCTTCTGAAGACAACAGCAGAGCGCAATGTGGACACAATCGCGAACAGGCAAGCTCTCCTCTCTACAATCGACCAAATCTCACAGCCCTGATCCTCCTCCTCCTCGCCAATATCCCATCAATGTCGTAGACAGTGTGGCGAGAGCCACGTCAGCGTAATCAAGAATAGAGCTGCGCCGAAGACAGAGAATGGCCCCAGCGCAGCGCAGTAGCAGTCTCGCGCCGACGTCCAATATCAAGCCAGCGTAGAGCTAGCGATGAGCCCGCGTAGTGCCAGCGTCCAGCCAGCGAAGAGCTGCCTTCAAGCCGGCGTCAAGCAGCAAGTGCAAGACTGAATGTCGGTCAGCAGGGGCTGGATCAACATATAGTGTTGATGTCGGTTGACCAGCCTCTGGTCTCACAGATACGATGGCCCAGATTGACTCGTGGTCAATGGCCTGGATCCCATACAGTTGCAGATTCCCACTTGCTCTTGATTCTTGACAGATACCTGCAAACAGCCAAGTGTGTGTGTCTGATCGGTGGGCCGGGCTGGATCCATGTTGACTGTGACTCGTGAGCTGAAGTTTCCGATCTGCTGTCAACCTTTGACTTTCCACGGTCAACTGTTGCACATTGGACCTCGAGAGCCCAGTTTTAGGCCTTGCTTCGGGTACCCATGGTGTTCAGGCCCTTCTCAGGGCTTGTGTGTGGCCGTTGACCCCTGTTCAAGCCCTTAGACCGACGGACCGCCCTCAGCCCACAACTGATGCATGATTTTGAGCTGCTGAGTTATTGCACTTTCCATGTCTTAGAGGAGGTCCCGAAAATTGTTATGGTCGTGGGGTGGGGTGGGGCCCGTTTCCTCTTTCTTGTTCCCATGGGCGACCATTTGTGCATGCCGACCTTTCCAGACGTGGGGTGGGGTCTGTTTCCGCTTTGAATTCCCGTTCCCATAGGGGACGATTTGTGCTTTCCAGCTGTGTTAAAATCCGGGCCGCCCGGCGGCCCTGCCTTCGCCCGACAGGGGTCCCGGACGGCCCGGCCGGTTGGGTCCCCTGGTTTGGCGCCGGGCGGGCCCAGCGCAATTTCACACGGGGGGGGGGGGGGAAGGCCTTTTTCGCCCAGTCGTAACATCCCCGGCCCCCGTGAACACTTTGTTTCGAACTCAGGCCCAAGTGAGGCCAGGGGAAGGGGTTCTTCGGCGACTGATCTCAGCACCCGACCTGCAAAGACCGGCGGCTGCGATCAGCCGCAAGAAACGACCTCGTTTCCCCCCATGCTGGCCTACCGCGCCGCGTTAGAATTTGAATGTGGTATCCTCCACTGCGAAGCTGCCATCACGAAGCCCACCCGTCATAGCTGTCGTCTCCAAGCCCGCCGTCGTCGCTGCTCCTTCTCGTCGAGCTGCCATCGTCGCTCCCAGTTGAGCTGCCCCGTCAAGAACGAATCCACGTCGTCGCTACCCGTGAAGCGGCTAGCGCCATCGGGGTGAAGCCGCCTTCACCTGCTTCTTCTTCTTCTTCTTCTTCTTCTTCTTCTTCTTCTTCTTCTTCTTCTTCTTTGGATCCTTGGCTAGATTCGCCAAGGTAGTGGGAGGTGCCTGGGGATCTTTGATTCACAGGTTTACCCCCACCGTCGTTTTGTCGTCTAAATCAGCAGACTAGCTGCTCCCTAGCCCCGTAATTTTGAAAATAGACCGTACTCTGTTTTTTTCCGATTGTTCTGAATTTTTTCCAATGCTGTAGGGTTTTTCCGGTAAAAAATAGGCCTTTTTGGGCACACCTCGTGTCAGGACGGGGTGGGCAGCCGTAGAACCAGACCTACGAAAAGATAGCGGCCCTGACTAGCGATCTCAGTTTTCTAGGAATCGGAACTGGGTAGAGGAGTAATAGGTGGTAGTGCTGCAATATCGAGAAAGGTTGGTGGATGTAAGTGTTAGATATGGCGGAGCAGTTGAGACGGAAGATCGGTATCTTTCGTGATCAGCGCGCCGTTAGGAGACTTCGTCGCATTATACAGCAGATGGTGGACAGCACTCTCTAGCGTTTGTCTGCTCCTCATAGGCATACCTAGGTTGGTCGGAACGCAATCTTGGAATACTTAACGATTGCTCGGGACAATACATCGTCTTATTGTAGGACTGATAGTTAGACGAGTAAGACGCCAGGCGAGATATCACAGGATTCGTATAGTACCTGCTCTCTCCGCAGCGCTTCGAACGTTTGATCGTGTGCTTGGGCTGATTAGGCGGAGTACTCACGTCGTAGAAGATTCTTTGTGGCAATGCAGGCGGGAATGGCGGGAGGAGGGATGGCGAGTATGATGGGCCAGGGTAGCGGTGCCCCAGCCATGGGCGGCCTCGGCATGGGTACTGGGGTCGTTGGCGCGGGATTGAATGGGCAAAACGGCGCTCCGCAGAACTTGACACCGCAAAACATCATGCCAGCTGCACCATACGGAGTTGTCACATGCCACATATGTGGAAAACTCGGACATTATGCACGTAACTGTTGGCAGGCGGGAAATAGACAGAGACCAGAGGAGGAGAATGTAGAAATGCGGGAGCTTCTTCTCCGCATTGCAAGGAGAGAGAAAGAAGAAGATGAGAGGAAGGGGCACGAATCTGATGAGGCTAAACGAAAGGAGGAGGACGAACGTCGTGAAAGTGAGAAGCTTCGTGAGGAGCAGGCGCGGGAGGCAAAACTGGAGGCAACTGTCCTTCGGATCCTTGCGCAGAGGAAAGCACCGTTAGCAATTGTTCCTGCACAGCAACTTACTAACGATTCGAAGAAGCGATCACCAAGGTCCAAGGCGCAGATGTTGATGGAGATTAGAAGCTATACTGCCGAATCGGAGGATGACAGTGAAGAGGTGAGAGAAGAGGCGAAAAAGCTTGTGGAAGCGTTTGAGAATCGGAAGAAATCCAAGAAGGGCGGGAGGAGCACTCGTGCGACTACTAGTCGGACGGAAAAGAAGTACCTCACACCGAGGAAGGAGAAAGGCCTTGTGAAGGATCCCACGCCCTTGGGAAATGACTTCGAGACACCAACTAAAGTCTGCCCCGCCGAGGGCTCGAGTGAAGGACTGATCGACTACGTGCTTACTCAAACGAAGGTGCTCAGCGCATTGAGGGCCGGAGAAATCCGAAAAATCTGCGATAAGGAGGGAGTGGAGTATATCAGGAAGGACATCTCAATACAAGAAATTGTGAAGTGTCGTACACGTCTCGCCTACGAGGGCTTCTTCGAACTCAAGAATCTGGGGTCTACACCGAAGACTCAAGGAGGGGGCCTCGATGTACCGTAATGGCTCAAGCAAGCATTGTCTACTCGCGCAGCAGCTATTAGATTCACAGAGCTAGTCGCGAGGCGAAAGGAGACCGTTGCTGATGAGAGATGACGAGAATGAACTGGCACTACTCGTCATACTGATGACATTGAGGGGCCACGTACCATGGGTCCGTAAGTTGATGAGGTTTGTAGATCCGACGGACGCGGACGTTAATATATCAGGGTTTTATGCCTTAGTCCTTATTGTAGGAGATTTTATATCGGGTGTACAGTAAGACGGATCGTGACCAGATTTTCCGAGCATATTATATGCACTACTACTGGGAATGATGGGAATGCTCTGAAGCTGCACACGTGGATGAGATTCTTTGGTTGGCACACATATGTGGTCCTGCCTTTGATTTCGGGCGTGCAGGATGGGCTGCTAGTAGAGAGCTCGTTGATATCTAGATTCTCGCCATCACTGAATACGATCGGGCGTTCTCATGCAAAGATGAAGAGACGAAGGAAGGGCGCAAGGCAAAGGAAGAATCCTGAGCCCGCGCACGCTACTGAGATGGTAGTGTTTCGGGTAGAAGATAAGAAGTTTGCATCGCTATGCTCAATCCTGGAAACGCTCGAAGGTAAGAGACAGCATGTATGCATTGACTCCGAAGCGGGTAAGTACTGGTTGGACTCGTGGAAGAAGGTGAGAGAGAGATACGGTGAGTCAGTCGTCATGATCAATGGAGGAAGAATGTCGTTGAGGGAAGCCAAGGCCAGCATTCAAAGGGGATGGAGCCTTCAGATCACTAACCTGGTCGTCACGACATCTGGCATGCAGAGAAACAAGGGGTTCCGTCGTGATCTTATCGCCCAGCCGTCGCGAGTGCGGACACTGTATAGACTGTCCAGCAGGAAGATGGTCGCACTACACCGGACGGCCGGTTTGTTTTCAAGTGACAGAACAAAGAACGATTTGCGTCAGAAGTTGGCACGAGTGATCAAGGCGAAGTTCGGCGTCGAAGTGAGGAGGTTGGTAGTACGTGTCCCCTTCTCCACAGTCATTAACTTGCCTGGGATCAGGGAAATGATGATGAAGATCATTACCCTATCCGTCGCCGATGAATCAATCCGATCTCTGGTTATAGAGAGGATGAGGATAGTTAAGTTGAAGAGTAAGACCATGGGAAGCATCGTACACAACTACAAGCCAAAGCTTGACAGCGGACTGGATGCATGTACCTGTGCCGCATTTACGTTGGATAGGTACCAGAGACATGTCAGGACTAGGCTCGACCGCGTGGAGGGAGTTCATCGTTTCGTCCACAACTCGAGGAACGTCACGGGAGGGAGAATCGTGACTAAGCATCAGCTGATGGAAATCATTGTCGAAGCCATACCCAAGACCTGGAGGGGCAGCGCCCTTCACGTTACCGATGCGGATGTATGTAGGTGCTATACGGAGAACACAACCGGCTGCGCAGCGATGACCGAGCAGGAAGTTAGAAGAGAGGTACGGCATCTCCGAGAGCTTGTACTTGTACCGCTCGACAGAAACCCGGGCGCCTCACTGGTGGTGTGCCCGGTGTTGTACCTTCATGCATTCTGCATGACGTTCAGTTGGAGCGCAGGGTTCGCTCCAAAGTACCTCCGGGAGGAGCAGGTGCTGGCAAGTGCGAAGGGGGCGTACAAGGCAGCTGGACTACATCACATAGCCACATGGCGTACCTGCAGGAGACTGGGAAGGGCCTACATTATTCCCAAGGACAAAGACTATGCCAGATGGTGGCCGATCTCACCTTCCTGGTCGGAACCATCTCGAACGCTGAGTGATAGATTGGGGAGAGCTCTCCGGTATATGCTTCTATGTCTACCTGCGACCTCTCATTTTAGCTTGAGATCTACCGGCCAGCTGAAGGAGATGATGAGGAAAGCCGTGACACGAATTCAGCAAGAAGGTGATACCGTCATTGGGAGGAGTTACGACATTAAGGATATTTTCACGAAACTCCCCCATGACGATATCATAGCCTCCGTGGAATGGCTGGTGAAGAAGCATGAACAACGCGGACTGATCGGAGTTAAGGTGAGTGTGCGCGGAAAATCCTGTAAAATGGCCAGGACTCTCAGGAACAAGATGAGGTATCTCTTCATCTCCTTCAGACAGATCCTCGACATCGTCATATACGAGTTAGGACATACCTTTACAGAATGTATTCGGCGTGCTTACCAGCAAATTGTGGGGGTCCCTATGGGGAAGCACTCCTCCCCGGCAATCGCCAACTTGCTGTGCGCAAAGGCCGAGTACGGGTTTCTGACCTCGTTAGGGGTGGATCGGCGACTAGTAGCTGGCGTGAGAATGGTCGATGATGCGTCCATCTTACTGACCTTTGACAGCCAGAATCATAGCTCGTATCTTAGAGCGTTGGAAATTGTTGAACTGTTTGCAGGATGTTACCCGGAATCTCTGAAGTTGATAAGAAAGGATGATGGCAGCAATACCTGGGATTTTTTAGGAAGCAGGGTGATCTTGGTACCATATCCACCTGCTGTGCATACATTCCCAAGAACTAAGAACCAGGCCTCGATCACAATGGAAGGAGCCTTACATTTTCACTCCATGCAAGATTACCAGTCGTACTCTGCAAAAAAAGTAAAGCGAATGACACTCGTGTTATCCATGTTGCGAATTTGGCGGTCATCCACAGATGAGACGAGCAACGGCTTCGATTATCTGCCTCTTGAAGGAAGCACGCCTCCGGGATTACCCCCCGGAGGTCTTCTTCGGATCCTTGGCTAGATTCGCCAAGGTAGTGGGAGGTGCCTGGGGATCTTTGATCTCACAGGTTTACCCCCACCGTCGTTTTGTCGTCTAAATCAGCAGACTAGCTGCTCCCTAGCCCCGTAATTTTGAAAATAGACCGTACTCTGTTTT